TATATATATATATATATATATATAGTTTGTGTTAATAAAATTTGTTTTATCATTACTTTAAAAAAAAATAATAATAATGTATAAAGAATTCCCGAGAATCACATGTTTTTAATTACTTTCTGTTTAAACACTTTAAGAACTAAATTATTTCAATTTCTTTTTCATTATATCTTTTTTTCTTAATTTTTTCTTAATTTAGACGAACAAATGTTGATACCAAGTAGATGCATATTCTTCCATGAGACCACGTGTTCATCGCCGAATCTTACACCTCAACAAGCGTGCGCCGTAGAATCGTCGGCTAGAAACAATCGCAATTTGAATGTCTTCTTGCTTTTCTTCGCGACGGAGCAGTTTTCTGAGAAGTCTAAGAGATACATCAAAATCTTAGAAACCTATGATAACGTGTATATAAGGAGAATACGTTTGTCTACATACATTATCGATACGCCAATAGAAGACTGGTTCTGGGCAAATATCCATAGATTATGGGAGAATCACGATTGGCTACATAAAGACTTTCATGATTATGTCCGGATGTTGACACTGTGGAAGTTTGGCGGTGTGTCGTTGAATTTGAACAGCGTGGTGCTGACGTGAGTTGGACTATTATCTCTTATCTTCAAGGCTTCAAAGTAAATTCAGCAACGGTAGACGAAATTGACTGATAATTTTCTAATAAATTTTTTGTTGACAAGTAACGATATATCTTGAATCAACATATGTTATAGTCAGTTCTTACTTCAAAACCGATTATCTGTTATAATGTCTAAGATACGGTTCTTGTAACACCTTAAATTTGTACTTAACGATTTCATATATAAAAATTAATTATAAATATTAGTTTTAAACTCTGTGAGATTCAAAATGTCATGATTCCAATGTGTACGAATAGATAAGTGTCAGTATCAGCGTCTACCAAATTCGCTGCAACAATTAAATAATAGCATATAAACACATTTAGATTTAAGTAAATAAATTAAAATTTATATTTAGATCACTGGATAAGCTAACTACTTTTGCGGGCGTGCAAGACAATCAAGACATGGATGTCGGTGTATTTGGCGTCGACACGAGTACAAATTTTGGAAGAAACTTTATCGACGCTTGTATGGAAATTATTAAAAGTACAAATGCAAATAGCTATTTACGACACAATATCACAAGAGTTATAACCGAAGCCGTATGGAAACTCTGTTATCAGCGAAACGTGAGTAGGATAACGAATTGGTTCATTTATTGTTAGTAAATAAGTCACTTTCGTCAGCGTGCTTCATTACTTCATGACGTATAATATTTCTGTCTCTTTCTTGCATGGTTTCTCACTCTCATCCTCAGTTTCACATTTTTCTTTCTCTTTCTCTCTATAATTTAAATTTAAAAATGTTATATAAAACAAATCTAAATTTGAATTCTATAATTTAAACTATAAAACTATTTTATTATATATATTAGCTGCGTACAGAAGAAAAGCTGCTTTATAATAGTTGCAAGGCTGCCTTTTCTGCTGAACGCAGCCATTTGTTATCGTTTGCATGGTCATTGGATTAACAAATCTTGTCACGTTAGGACGCATCATACAATTGATATGCATAACTAATGAAACCTCTGGTAAAAAATTTTTATATCTCTGTATAATATATTGTTCAGAATATTTATAATTTAAATTTCTGAAAAATATCCTTAAATGTATTCCAAATTTTATAAATTATTTATGATAGAATGAAAGATTTTAAAATGTTTCAAAATTCATATGTAAAGAATTCTGGAAAAATGTTGCAATTTTGTATTAAAATATCTCAGGAATTTTTCTAAAAAATTATGTAATTATATAGAATTCTAAAAAATTATATGAAGGATTCTAAGAAAACTTTTCGCCAAATTTAAATTACAATAGATTGATATGTGTACGAAAAGAATCGTAACAGAAATCATTTTACGTTACATGAATATTACCTTATTAGACAAATCTTTCCATGTATATGGTTCGCAGGACAAGGAATGTCGGCGGTTTACGATCTACCCACCGGAGAAGTTTTATCCGTCATTTCCTGATTCGCGGGAAGTTCACACAAACAAAACAAGAACGAAAGAAATGCTGAAAATAGAGAAAAACGCTATGACGATTCATTTGTTGAACAATTACAACCGAAGCACAGAAACAAATAATGTGGTGGCTTTCAAAATGGCGGCTGAACAAAATTGTCCGAAGATATACGAATTTGTCGGAAAAAGTTTTTTAAACTTATGACTTTAATACTATATTAATTGATACGTAGCACATATTGCAAATTGATACGTAAATATAACTGAGTAAAGTTTATAATAATTATTATTTATGATGTGGTTTGTATTGACGATATTAAATAAGAATATAAGAAAAAGCTTACTGTTCTAAATTTAATAATGTTATTCCGGCCTTTCATTTATAATAATTCGTCGTTTTTACGTCCTAGAATTTATGTATAAATATTTTCCGTTTTCATAAGTGAAAAATGAAAATATACATACGTAGGATGTCCTAAAACTGCTAAATATTTTGTGTGCTCGTACAGCGAAATAAACTGAGTCAAAAAATCCTTTATCAATTTTCGCAATAGTTAGGATAATATTAATTACTAAAAATTGCCTATTATTGATTTTCAACAATTTTTTATTCAAGTACACTATCAATCTTTAACAAAAAAACAAGTGACAAAAATTGTTTGTTTTCTTCTCATAGAGTTCTGAGAATTTTTTCAAGATTTGTTAATACTGCATTTTCTCATGTTGGTAAAAATAGTTGCTAATATATAAGAAAATGCAGTAATAAAAAAATTGATAAAAATTATGAAAACATTCTTAGAGCTCTGTGAGAAGAAAATAAACAATTTTTTTCTCTTGCTGTTTTTCTGTAAAGTTTATAATACTCGAGTAAAAAAATTATTGAAAATCAGTTCAACGATTTTTAGTAATTAATATCTTGTTAACTATTACGAAAATCGCAAAATGGTAGAGGATTTTTCGACTCAGTTTAGTCGGCGATTCTATCAGCACACGAAATATTTGGCGGTCATTTTGGGACACCCTGTATATGCTAAGATTATTTTCTCATTTAAAGACTCCAAATACGTTAAAGATATTTATTTTTTAAATTATCGTGGTTTTTTGTTCGTTATTAAGATTTCGGAGGCTCGAAATCTTATACGTATTGATATAAATTTGTTAAGAATGTGTTACACATATTTTTAATATAATAATAAAATTATGAAAAAATTACAAATTATTCCAAACTATGTTTAAAAATAATACGACAAATTTGATGATGGTTCACTATCTGGATCATAAGTTATTTATAAATAGTTATTACTTTTTTAATCCGCTCTAATAAAAATATATAAAAATGTATTATAAAATAAATAATAAAAATCTCAATTTTTTGATATAAGTTATATATTAAGTTATATTCAAGATTATTTACGTAGAGTTACATTGTGATGAAATATAGTTGTCTTCTCTGTGCGTGTGCGTATGTGTGCGCGTGTGTGTGTGTGTGTGTTTATGTGTAAATAAACGAAATATTTATTTGTTCAATATCTCTATAACTATCACTAATCAGTGAATCGCAATAAAACTGCATAAATTATTTTGAATATTTAAATTAGAAAAAAAGCTTATAAAAAAAAACGTAATTTTTTAATCATTTTTAAATTTTAATTTTTAATAAAAATAATAACAAATTAAATAAACTACAAAAATGTGTTATTAAACAAAAATAAAATCTTATTCACATAACTTTCGTATGTATATATAATAGTTTATTTGAGGTGTAAATATTAAACATACTTCCAAATTTAATTTTCTTTGCAGGGACTGTACATTTAATACATCCTTAAATCACTCTGCATAAATATAATTAGTTCTTAACACAGTATTAAAAATTCATAATTTATTATTATATTTATTATATACTTTATAAATAAAAATTCATATTTATGACGCAACAATTAATATCATATATAAGTTCCTCCAAAACTACCCGATAAAAAATTTTTTATACATCAATATGTATAAATATGTATAAACATACCTAAATATGCATAAATGTTCATAATCATATATAATTAAATATGAAAAATGTCCATATAACTTTCTTTTGAAATACTTTTTAGTATACTAAAAATAATAATAATATTAAGACAACATCAAAAATAGTTAATGGGACAATTTTCGTATTATTTGTTTTAGAAAAAATCAAGTTTGGAAAAAATGCAACAAAATTTGCTCATACATAACTATGTATAATTTTACATGCAATTATATATGAACAGTTTTTTACATTTCTCCAAATTTGATTTTTTCTAAAACAAACAATGCGAAAATTTTTTATACTTTCTCATTATTATTATTTTTAGTACACTAAAAAATAATTTTACAAATGAAAGAAGGATGTATGAACATGTATAAACATATCTCATACATAATTATATATCTTTATAAATATTTATACATGTTATGTATGTTTATACATATTTATATATTCATGCATGAAAAATTTCTTACTAGGTATTATTATATATTTTTTTGTACGTGTTTACGTGAATAATTAAATAAATGTAGTGGTCCTATTTTCGATTTTCCTGTATGTTTTATACATGTAAATTTATATAGTTTAAATTTAAATTTATATTTATTTGCATGTAAAATATATTCTGAGAAGGAAAATCACCATTCATGTCTCACGACCTTCTCTATATTTCAAAGCTTTTTAAGGTTCATATAAAAAGAATAAAAGAGGTATAAATTTTGATCACAAAAACTCTTTGCTATAATTTACATAAGAGAATAATTTTTATTTTTATTTTTAATTAATTAAAGCAGAGAATAAGCAAATTATCATTAAATTATTATTTTCTAACTTACTGACATCAAAAAGCTTTGAAATTATAAGAAAAAAAAAACAAGATTTAAACGACAATTTTCCTTCTTGGAATATATTCTATGTATAAAAACACATAAATTTACGAAATTATTGTAGGTAAAGAGGCGATATTAAATATATTTACTTTACATAGAAATTCTTTATTATGTAAACTTACGTTCGTCGTTACGTGACATCGTTTGATTTGTGATGTCATTAACATTTCATGCGCAGAAATGATGCTTTATTACATGGCGTTCACGTTGAATTATCAATTTGAAATAGAACTTATCTCGGTAATATTTTTAGAGAAGCGGATCCGATTTTACAATTTTAGTTGAGGTTATGTTGCTACTGAATGACAATGTAAACAGACACAAAGAAATGAGAAAAAATTGCCGATACGTCGCTTACGTATGATCGCGACGCATGTATTCTGATAATCTTTACTCCCGTTATCAATTCATGAGTAAAATCGTGCAATGGCCGCTTGACTTGATGATAATTTTCGCGCTGAGATTCGATCATTCGATCGTGAAGTACCTGATGCAGAACACGATACTGCTGCGCGTTTCAAGAACATTGACGACGCGAAACTCAACCGTTCTTCTTTCGCACAGCACACGTATCGGACAAATAAGTACATTAGACGCGGTAATGGCACAACGAATCTTCAAAGGTCATAAAGATCACTATAATGGCATTACAATCGATTCCGTTGAGGAGGCCTGCGACAATAAAATATTTGCACAGCGTCTTAAAGGTAGAGACGCATTAAAATGAATAGTTTCGGAAATAATTGTTTGCTTCCATACTTTTTCCCCACCCTGTATATATATATATATATATATATATATGAGACTGCATTATAAAAAAAATTAGTCAATAATTTTCTTTTCAAATTTGCTAAACTTTACTTGCAAAGTATACATTTATAAGTTAAAATTATTTCTTCATTGAGTTCTCATATTCCATGTTTGTTATCTCATTAAAAGGATATTATGTAAAGAAATAAATTTGATATATTATAGCAGAATATATTTTAGAAATCATAAGAAATAACACACATATAATTTATAAATATCTTTATAGATTCTTTGGAGCAATGGATAAAGGATAAAAGACGCACTATATGGTTTCGTGTGCACATACCGCATACCGAATGGGTTCCGATATTAACAGGGCATGGTTTCATTTTTCATCATTCCAAAGAAGAATATGTTATGTTATATCGTTGGTTGCCTACTAACGAGGAATGTAATGTCCCAAAATATGCACATACATACTTAGGTGTTGGTGCGTTTGTGTTCAATAAGAATACTAGTGAAATTCTTGTCATTAAAGAAAAATATGCTCCTACTAAAACAAGTTGGAAACTTCCAGGAGGCTATGTAGAACCAGGTAGCTTAATATAAAACACTGTGCATATATTAGTTTACTATTTTATATAGACAACATATATATTTATATTGTCAGGAGAAGATATTGAAACAGCAGCCAAGAGAGAAGTTTTAGAAGAAACAGGAATTCAGGCAGATTTCAAATGTTTAATATCTTTCAGACACGGGCATGATTATTCTTTTGGATGCTCGGATATATATATGATTGCGTACTTAACACCTCAAAATTTTGAAATTGATAGATGTAAACGGGAGATTTCAGAATGCAAATGGATGAAGGTAAATGTTATACTACAAGATTTTTTTCTTACATTGCCAAAAATCGCAAGAATTATATTTGTTTTAAATTTATACATGATCTTAACAAAATCTGCAAATATATATATTTGATATAAAATTGAACTGTGTTGCGATACTAATGTGCAGCATCTATATCCCTAAGTGTTGCATAATTGTTTCAATTTATAAACTTCTATTATTTTTCTAGCTAAGTGATTTCATGCAACATCCAGAAGTACATGCAAATAACAAAACTTTAGCAGCAAAAACAACAGATTTTCTTCAACATCAAATGGGCATAGTTGCAAATTATGGAATACATCCCATTACTAAAAAGCAGATATGTGTGTATAGTGTGCAGAATACAGACATTGGAAATACATCTGTAGAATAAACTTTAGAAACAAATGTATATATATATATATAAATAAAATGAAATACTAGAGATTCTAAGTAATTATGTAAAAAAAAACATGCATATATATTTAAGGTTTTTTGTTATTACCGTTATAGAAATAAACGTATAAGATAATAACAAAAATAATATAACTAATATAATTAAATTATATTATATATTAAATATTGTAAACAAAACATTAAATTTTTGTCTAATAAATTATATAATCTTAAGAATTATTTTATATTATATCACATATATCACAATAAGTCACATAAGATCTAAGTTTTTATGTGCATTACAGTTATAAATATTTTTTATCTCACAATTATTATTGATGTACAATGCTGATGTACTATGCTAAACAATCTACTTTAAAGGAAATTCCATCTTATTTGCTTTATAAGATTACACTTACATGATTATATTTATATTATACTTTTTTGATTACTGTTATATAAAATCCCCGCAACACTCGCGGTCTCGCGTAAAGTACGCGGTAGTGTCGATGCCGCTTGTCTTGGCGCCGAGACACTACCGTGTCTCCTGATAATACTTATATGTCCTAACATGTAGTTACCGTTTAATTTGTAATAATATTAGAAACGTGTGACATAAATTTTAATAGTATTGCCACAACCAGGAAAATTTACAAAATTAATGATAAACAGTAAGAAAAACTGTATGTAAACATATTTCTACCAAAAAATTATTGTGAACTATTAATATAATTTTTGTCAATTAGTATTTCAATTAAATTTAATTTTCTTAAGGAATCATAGAATTTAGTGCGATGAACGTTACTACTGTGGCAATAATGGGTGGCATACACCACTGATAAAAGGATGGACGCGGAGCTGCAGTCATAGAAAGAATAACCCAACTCGTGAAACGTAATATATTACTTAATATAAGCGAACGGTATCCTTTGTGCTTAGGAGAAATCTGTACGATACCTAATGTACTGCACCCAGCCAATATTATCCAACTTACTATATGGACAGGATCTTCTGTGGAGAGTCTCATATCGTAGCTGTAATAAGTATGTCTATTTTTGTTAACTAATTTTTATGAAATTTAATTTTGATTTTAAGAGTCCTGTTTTCTCATTATAGTTACATTAAAGTATGATTAATTGATTATACTTTTCGCTTCTATCACAATTTGATGTTAAATCGAGAATTTTAATACATACCTGAAATTTTTTGCCCAAACTAGGACAGATGGAATTGCTGGGATTGCAGCAAAACTATACAACAGAAATAGGAGAAGGCGATTGTATATCTCTTGACCGATACTTTTCTGACTAGTATTTAACTGATCATTTTCTCCTTCACTTTTTGCATTCTTCCAACGTTTAAATAAATTGAAATGTTGGAGTGGGGCCAATAATATGTCCTCTAAATAATCTTCGTACATCCTTGTTAATTTTAAAAAGTGAAGAAATACCGAAATGAGCATACTAAGAGCTGCGCATGTTATTGGAATTAGAGATTGTATGAAAAAAGTTGTAATATATGGAAGCTGATTTAAACCACTCAATAACCAATCTGACCATGTTATTGAGAACGCTATTGCACGTGCTAAGAACCTACAAAGAATATGACTTAGAAAAATATTTTAATCCATCAATTTGACCATTTTTTCAATATGCAATTAAATACAAGAGAATATTTTTATTTTAGTATAAATAAAAGAACTGTACCTGACAGCTATTCCATGTGCAACAGAACCAAGAAATATAACGGAGAAACATACACCGACGGCAGATATACCAATAATACATAAAGCGATGACAGTTTCGTAAGTAACACTGAAGACAAAGGATAATATTATGGTAATGATTATTGTCGGTAGCACATCTGAATTGCAATGTACCCTTAAAGAAATAATAAGAAGGAGTAAACTAATAATGGCTGTGTAAAGCAATGGCCACCGATCCCGTACTCTACACGAAATTTTATCGATGATTCCTCCAGGTTGAATATTAATCATATAAATGCATTCTGGTTCTAATGTCATTCTTAAACTTGCTGTATCATTGGGACGTCCATAGAGAGTCTGCATTTTCATCGTTTTCGGACCATCGTCTCTGCATTGTAATTAAATATATGTAAAAAGAGCTTATACAAAGCTCGATTTATTATGAAATACACTTACGTATTCGTAAAGATTTCCAATTGAGTCGATCCTACATTCGATGATTCTACTAACTCGACAATGGCATGATGTTTAACACAATTCGGCGATTTGAACTCGATTGTGACTGCGTCTATGATGTTGGGAAGTGTTATATAATATCTTATACTTCCCTTGACAGTTTCAATTAAATTAGGTCCACGAAAACCAAAGAGATATTTAGGATGTATGAATCTATTTCTTGTAGATTCCATTCGATTATTATAAAAATAGGAATCAAAATTGACTGTAAGTTGTTTCTCCAAATCATCGGGAGTTAATTTTACAACGGCATGAGTAATGTGTGGATATTTTATCTCTCTTAGATTTAAATCAACAGTCCTTCTCGCTCGATATAAAGGATCGGGTAAAATTCTTGTTTTATTTGTCAAACTCCAACCCCATTCACTGAAAAATACATATATTAAACTTATTAATAAATAATAATTTCTTTCATGATAGAAGTATATAATTCAATATTACCAAATTCTTTTTTGCTCTTGTTTTTTTAATGCTGAGCATACGAACAGCCAATCCTTGCTTTGTAAATTTATTGTATCAATGGTTAAGAAGTCAGATTTGTGAAATAATTCCACCGCAAGATATATAACGGATGATCTTTTAATTCCATTATTATTCCAGACATACTGTTGAGGTACACTCATCCATTCAGCGTCGGTTTCAAATCGAACTTTATCTGGATAATTATACATTTTTTTGCCAGAAGTGTGCTGAAATTTTATACATTAAAATTCATTAATTTATTTTAGCACTTAATATTTTAGCAATTCCAAAATTTATGATTATTAAATATCTTTTTGTGTGACTGTGCGATATTATATATAAGTAACTGAGTTGATTAAATCCTGATTTTAGCATCTATAATAATTACTTACTTTTAAGAAGTGATAAGATAAGGACTTCATTTTTAAATCAGGATTTGATGTAATTTTAGGCGGTTTTTCCAACTGATTCACAGAATCAAATAGCGACCGCACAATTACAAATACTAATTGTTTACACCATAGAATACTTAAATGATCTGTGGATTTCCAAACACATGGTACACTCGTGGAAAGAACATTTATATCCGCCATACGATCGAAAGCTGCGATAGAAGGTACAAGTATATCACGTGGTCCACCTCCAACTGACACTATCTTTACTCCTGCATCCTTAATTTTATGCAAATGTCTTTCTAATTCATAATAATAATTTGCAAAGACACTATCAAAAACTAAGAAGGGAGTATGAGGAGTAGCCAAATTTATTATCATATTTGCTAATGATGCGTTCATATTTGGTGCTAATAATAGAGCTCCTTTTGCTATAATACCACCCTGAAAGTAATGCCAGTAAATTTCAATCATTCTTTATAGCACATATCTGTATTTCTTACCATAGAATGACCAATTAATACAACATTGTCCATTCTGCCCTTATACAACGCTAGTATTGCCTTTATACAATGTGAGACATACTCAGTTTGTTCCATAAGTACACCTAGCATTAATAAAAATTACAACAGCAGTTGATATTATGTACACAGGTATCAATATATTAATAATTTTTTAAATATCTTTTTATTATTTTTTTGTCATACCTCCATACAATGCAGAATAATCCTTACTGAATGAAACAGTAAAAAAGTCAAAGTGGAAGGAAGCTGTGCGGCTTTTTCTTAAACTTACTGAAGCAATAGATCGTACTAAAATAAAAGAAAAAAAATATAAGTAGACTTCTGAAGATCTGTTTTGAAATAATAAAAATCTGTCATATCAAACTAAGTCGCTAATATATTATTAAATATAAACCTTGCTCGTGAGAACCAGCATTGCCTGGTATGAAAAGAACTGGTATACCAGAAAAATGCATTCTTCTCAATTTTTCAGTTAGAATGCCTTCTCCATAAGCATATAATCCAAACCGTGGATATTTCGCTTCAATATCGTTTTTTAAAGATATTTTCTGAAATATAATAAGTTATTTAAAAATTCATAAAAAAATTTATACATATTTAGCATTCCACTAAAAATATTCTTTGTTTTTATATTTAATAAATAAAAAACTTGTTATCATTTCTTCATGTTCTGATGGAAAAATGAAGTAAGATATTTGATAAGTCTAATTGAAAAAAGCAAACTTAATACCACTTAGGGCCAGTTGTTCCACCTTTTAGTAAATTTTACCTGTGAGGTAAATCTGGTAATCCACGCATGTGATCGAGTAATCTTGCTACTTACCCAACAGATAAAATTTACCAAAAGGTGGAACAACTGACCCTTAATAGATTAGAGGTCTGTTTTTTATAATTAAATCAATATATACTTCTTATTTAAATAGGTATATATTCAAAATTTGACAAAGACAAAAAGGAAAATTCTAGTTCAATCTAGTACATTAATAAAAAACAAACTTAGGGTTCTAGATACATGTATTAAAATGGATTAAAGTATAATCTCTATTCTTATAGCAGGCTATCTCCAATAGTTCATAAAAACTAGTATCATGTATGATTTACAAGTCCACATACCACATATTGCGGGTACTCAAACATATACGTCATTTCACAAGTATTCTCCTCAAAGTCAGTCACATATCTTGTAACCCCGAGAACGTACAGCAGAGTGATCATAATAAAAAATGGTGCTAGCGAACCGTAGATAATTAACCATTTAAAAGAAATCATTTTGAGTATCTGTCCTCTATCAAACCTTTAAGTAGAAAATATTTATTATTTGCTTTAACACACTGACCGGTTTAATACTGACATTTCTATCCTTTGAAACCGTTAGAAGGAATTTTTCATAGATTACAATTTGAATAATAAAATTAAAGTTATATAAAGAATAGAAAGTACAGAAACTTAATCAATTCGCTGAAATACATAAAGATATCTTATAAAAATAAAAAGTATATACCAGGATAGATTCCTATTACTTCCGTCGGATTCATCGACCTTCATTGGGACTATAGGTTATAATTTCTTTCAATATTAAAAAAAACGCCAATTCGAATAAAATTTGACGCATGCGCAGCGCATCATAGAACTGCTTTTATATCTCATTTTCAACGCAGAAACGCCGAGAGCGCCAGCGACTGATTGTTTTATTTTGGAACTGACCAATCGCATTTGCTGTTCAACAGAATTGACCAATCACGGTTGACATTGGACGCGTTCAGCAGACTCAACTGTCGTGGAGTGGATCCGTGAGCGCTAGCTGCTATTGGATGATCTAGAAGAATACATCAATAGCAGCGAATGCTCACAGATCCGCTCCACAACAGTTGAGTCTACTGAACGCGACCATTAATCGATCGATTAAAGGTGCGGTCCACTTAACGCTACAAATGCTTCGAAACGTTTTATTGACCAATTGGAAGAAAGAATTTTACTAATTGACCAATTAAAAAATGCTTTGAAGCATTTGTAGCATTAGTGCCCATTTCCACCAATGTAGATTAACTTTAATCTTGGTTCAAACTCTTCCTATTTTTCTAATCTTTAGAACTAGAAAAAGACGAAGAGTAAGTTGAACCCAGATTAAAGTTAATCTATGGGTGCATACAGTACTACAACCGCTCACTGAGCGCTCAGTGAGCTCTTATATCTAATTGGTGTATATTTTTAGATCTAATGGAATATGCCAATCAAATGCAAGAGCTCACTGAGCGCTCAGTGAGCGGGTGTAGTACTGAATGCACCCATTGTTCATTAACCGCTTTCTGCGCGGCTAAACATCATGGCTGATCTAGTCGAAGCCGTTGGACCACGTGTTTTTCATTGATTTGTATGTGTATAACTGGCGATAAGGTATTTTACTTTTTTAAATTTTTATTAAGACTATTTTTTCCTCAACATAATTGAATAAATGGATTCTTGTCTAATTACCATAATTATTAAATAATGCAATAATGTTGAGCACGACGGTATTAATATGCTAACGACTGCGTTTGTAATTACCACATGGTCGCGATCAAATAGAAGAAGGATAAAAAAGAAAACAGAAATATTGCGTCAAGTGTACAGAGCAGATAGTCAATACAACATTTAAGTATAGACAATACATAAAAAATGAAACGAGAGAATTCAAATTCGCAAGTGAAAACGCGAAAGCGGAAACGAACGAGTTCTGAGACAGAGACGATAGAGTCAAAGGAATTCAACTTGAAGGATCTATCGAAAAAACAAATTCTAGAATGCATTTCTGCGATTTTGGATATGACTCTTGAACAGTTAAAAGAGACGAACAATCTTCTCGCTGAGGAGGCTCGGCCGATATTTATACAAGTGACTAGTGTCAGAGTGCCAGAGATGCCTCGTAGACAAATGAGAATGTAAGTGAATTTATGGATCTTAAGAGATTTCACTTTCTTTTTATTAAAACTTCACATGATTATATATTCTAATTGCCAATGGATCCTTATGAGATTTTCTGATTATAAATCTTGTAATGATGATACCTTATGCATAATAAAAATTATTAAGTTTCTGTCAAATTTCTAATTAAAATTTATATTTCTCTTTATAGATTGTTGCCATATTCAATAGTGGCCCCGGATGATGAAGTAGCTTTATTCGTTAGTGATTTAGAAAAAGGAAGAAGAAAGGATTATGAACCGACGGTGGAACATTATAAAAATTTATTAGACAAGCATGGATGCACTCGTGTGAATGAGATAATACCTATAAATCGTGTGAAAACCGAATTCGATCAATTTGAATTGAAGAAAAAGCTTTTATCCAGTTATGATCACTTTCTTGTTGACGGTCGTATTGCTGGTCATATGTCCCATTTATTAGGAAAAATTTTTTCCAAAAGACGAAAGCTACCAACTTCAGTCAGAATGGAAAGCAAGGACTTGAAACACGAGATTGATTATGCATTGAGAAAAACCAGTATGCAGCTTCATTCCCATGGCGATACTCATTTGATGCAAGTAGGGAATACACGTATGAAAAAGAAAAGAGTTTTGAAAAATGTATTGGCCGTTTGTGAAGAATTGTCTAAAAACTATCCTGGTGGTTGGACAAACATACGAGCGCTCCGATTGAAAGGCACAAACAGTCTAGCATTGCCTTTTTATATGACGTTAAGTAAGTTGAAATATAGATTTAATTTATATATTGACGACATTTATTGTTTCTATAAATAAATTAATGAATTTCAGAGAATAAAAACACTGTTGATCCAAGTACAATTGCGGTACAGCCAAAGAGACCTAAAGCTTACCACGATGTAGAAGGAGAGCTTTCAACATTCATAAGTAATACCACAGTCATGGTTAAACCTGAAGGTACAGTCATACTCAAAAAGGAACGGACCAAGAAGAATAAATCAAGTAAAAAAATCACAAAGGAAAAAACTGAAAATTGAACGGAAATTCCAATAAAATGGAAATTCTGTTGTTACTTTGTATTTTAAAAAATCTTGTAAAAAAAAGTAAGAAATGGTATAATCACAAAAACTTTCTAAATATATAATATTACATATGTTATTTAAGTTTAATATTAATTTAATCAACATTAAATTTCACAAATATTTTTATATATATATTGTCTCTAGTTCAATTATTGTATCTAAGAAAATAATTAGATAAACATGTAACACTACTTTAGAAATTATTGACATAGCTCTGCCTTTTCAAATTTCATGAATAGAAACTGTTTATGCTATTTTTATTTTTGTTTAATTTTGCTTTATTTAAAATTCTGAGGCTAGATTCAAATTCAGCAACTTTCCAAAAACCCTTAAAAAAGATTTTCTGTAAATTATTTTATTAAAAAGCTCCTCAAAGAGTTAAATATTATGATAATTACGTTAGAGGACATTATCTCTTGGATACCATTATTTGGTTAATAAAGGCAGTTATTGCTTAACAAATTTCTTTTTTATTGATATACTAGATTATGTGCAAATACTTGAAATTGTGAGGAACATTTCCTTCATAATACTAATAGTCAATACAAAATAGTCTGATCCTTCTTAGATATACTTTGATATCCATTAGCGGGTAATGTTGGCAAACTGTTGGCGACACCGTTAGAATTTTGTATGCTCTTGTACACATTTGTCGCATCTATGACCACTTCAATCTCTTGAAAGTTTTGAAGTCTCTGAATATCTTTGTCTTTCCTCAGTCTAGTATTGGGCAACTTTCGTAGTTTCTGGATTTGATGCGAATTGACATCTAGCTCCTTGCAACATAGACACAACAGAGCCTGATATGTTAACTCGCTTCGTGGTAATTCCACCTCTATGAAATCTGAATCCGGTGTATTGGCAATTCGGATTTTCAGTACCAATTCTAAAAATATATTAAAATACAATTTTATATATATATATATATATATATACATACTACTGCAGCTATAGTATATAATAGACTATATATAGTTCCTTTAAAAACAATTTTGTTTCAATTTATTATATATATATGTATATATATATATA